GCATCACAATTTACATCGATTCGGAAATTAAGATTTAAAAATGGTAAATTCTGAGAAACAAGAATCAAGAAACAATCGCCAGATCGAAGATGTAAACAGTGTGGATCAAGGCACCAACGGTGAGGATTCATTTAACGGTTCATCGGACGGTGCTGAGATTCCTTCCATTACGCAGAGGTTGAAGGAGATTATTGTGGATGATGGTGATTGCGATCTGCTGCTACAACAGAGCGGTAGGGGGTATGGATTTATGCAGTGGCTTCAGGCTCTGGATATGCAGGTTATGGGGGCCTGTCGCACGGACGAAAGGTTGAAGCCTTTGCTAAAACTCAATTTATCCGCTGGCGCGGCTGAGGATTGTTTGTTGGCTCACCTTAATCAGGTATAAGTAATCAAAATAAAAACTTGGCCGTTGTATTTACTGGTTATAGTAAGTTTCGTAAGGACGGGTAGAATTTGGATTTGGAAATGAAATTGGAGAAATGTATATATGCAAATTGGGACAGCAAATTTCTAGTTCGGTTTCCTAGCCCTAGCCGACTGTACTTTTATTGAATTTCACTTGTTCTCGAGTTTTGAAGATGTTTACTTATTGTGTTATCCCTTGTGGGGTGAAAGCTCGATAATTAATTTCCCCAGATGTATTAGGTTTGTTTCGTATATAATGGGGGCCAAACGGGAGCCAAGTTGGTTGGCAAGGAAAGATATGTTGATTTGGGATCATTTTATTTAGTCTTTTCTAATAGATACTTGTGCTTCAATTATGTATGGAGTAGGCTGTGTACATAATACCTTTTTGCTCCTTTTATCAACTCAACCGACCTACTGTGATAATGAAACAGCATTTTGAGCCATCAGAAGTGGGTATGCTGGCCAGGTGTTTGTGCATGCCTCTCGTTTCTATCCGCGTAGGGAAGATCACTAAGCAAGGGAGCCTCTTATGTCCAACATCCATAAGGTAGTTGCAATCTCTACATCTTTTCTCTCATATTACAGTTGCATGTAGAAAATAAATTGACCTCTGTTATAGTGTCTACAGTCTTGTTGTTAAGTAATTATTTTTGTTGAGTGAACTAACTAGGGAATGTGATTGTTGAGAGCCATATTTTGTTTCGGTATTTTTATTTTTTAGGGGTTTGGGTTTAGAAAAGTACAAATTTGGTCTAAGATGAAAAATAATTTAGCTTATATTGAAGCCTGAAAGTGAATTATATGTTGTGGGATTGATCCTTGCTGTTAGACTGACACATCAGAGTTCAACTGTTTTTCAGCTATCTACCTTTCTTGGAAGATGGCTTTTTATCACCAAAAGCCTGTTAGTTCTTCATTGGTGATCGAATTTTTTCTTCTAATTTCAAA